TCAAATTGGGAATCCACATATAGGGTTAGGTTTCAACATATGAATTTGGGGGGGATCAAAGACATTCCATTTATAGCAATGAAATATAATTGTTGAGAAGTGACTGTCCAGCCACAGACTTCATTTCTGAAACCCCTGCATCTAGATGGGACCATGTGACTGACTTATGGCCAGTGGAACTGAGTGGAAGGAATTCATGCCAATTCTAGGTGAGGCCCCTAAACTACCACATGTGGTTCTGCACACACTCTCTCTCCTTGTCTGCCGGCTGCATGTGGATGCCCATAGCAACCTTGGAGGCCAAATGCTGAAATGGCAGACCGCCTACCAGTCTGGGTCCCTGAAGGGCTACAGGGAATGGAACCACTGCTCACCCCACTACCACCAACTGAACTTTGCATGACCTGTTAGCAAGAAAAACGTCCATTACATTAGGCCATTGAGATTCTGGGGTTTATCTGTTATTGCAGTTAACAGTTACTTTTTTAACATAGTCAATGACATCTAACTTGAACAATAACATTTAATTTCCACTTAGAATACTGGAGGCCAAGCTTGTGGGGAAGAGGAAAGAGGGAGAGGGCAGCATATCACGAGATCAACACGAGGCCCCACCACGTGTTAGTTCATTGGGTCAAAGTGTAGTGTGGACAACAGTGGCCCCCCCCACCCAGAACACCCTGAGAACAGAAAGTTAAGAGTATTCACATTTTATTACTTACAGAATGTTACCTCAAAATATAAACTACCTCATGGGCCCTAACTCTGCAATCGCCAAGCTCATATAAACCTTAATATAATCTGATTTTGGAAGCAAATATTAACACCTGTTCAAATCCCCTGCAGAGAAGAGACTCCCTGGGAGGTGTTCCTGTACTCATTTTGCCAACTTTTTGCTTCTTCCAAAAATATAACTTATTACATAACATTTACAACTGAAAAAGAATCCTGGGATATTTTCATGAATAATAATTAGAAGAGTAAAGTTCATGCTGTGGGCTGTAAAGAAGGGCCCCCTTTTCTCTGCTGGGTGCATAGGACAGTGAGATTTATTCATGAGCCAATCATTTGGAACTTGGTCAACTCCTCCCGAATGCTTCCAGGGCTCCCGGGGGGCTGTGCTGGTGTTTGGAAGGAAGTAGGTGTCAAAGCAGTTGGTTTCTTGTATTTTAGCTTTCTTGTTTTAGAGTGATCTTTGCAAAATACCGCCCCTCCGGCAATTGTTAATGGATTTATTATTTAGTCTGGAAGACAAAGAGAAACTTCCAAATCTCTTGGTGGTGGGACAGGGGGAGCAGTGTCCTCAGAAGCAGTGCATGCTTGGGTGCTGCCTGGCTCTCCAGGACTTGGAAATATCAAGAATCATCACCTGTGGTGGGTGGTGGTGGTAGGAGTGGTCCTTTAAAGTATTGTACAGAAGAATACAGGGGAGGAGCGGCCAAGAGGGTCACTGGTGGGCCCGAGGGGAACCTGGATTCCAAATGTTACAGCCAGCGTTGGTCGGTCACAGCGCTACTCACGACTCATCAGAACCGCTAGTCTACTTTATTGCCAGAGGTATCCACCTGGTTCATCTCTGCTTCTGCAGAGTTCAAACACTGCCCTTTTGTTTTCAGAAATAAAGCCACTCTCAGTGGATTTCCAAGGTGAATCCAGCAGCCGCAACCCTCCCAAACATGGGCCTGGAGTGCATGTGTGGAGCACACCTGCCGACGTGGGGCGTGGCCAGGACCATTCCAGCCGCTCGGCAGTTCACAGCCCTGCTGGGTCCTTCCCTGCCCCACCTCAGGAGGCCTCAGCAGCTCCTGGTGCTCAGGGACAGCGCGGGCCTTTCACGTAGAATCCACCAACAACCTCTGCCATTTTGGAGGGTGCAGGCTTGGGCCTATCTGCCTGGGGACTGCCCAACTGCTGGGGAGGGGATGGGGCTACCAGGGTGAGTGGGCCATGAGGAATTGTAGTTCTGGGCATCCCAGACCTTAGTCTCATTGTAGCCCAGTTCTGGAATTTTCAAGCTTTTCTCCACCCGGAGATAAGCTAACATCCCACAGTCGCAGCTTTTTCAGGGCACTAGAAGAATTGAGACTTTTTCTTCAAGTAACAATGAGAATTTGTTCTGAGCCTTTGTGATAAGAGAAAGAAAATCATTCCTAGAGGCAGGAAGAACAGAAAATCCTCTCAACAAAAGGCACAGACTTCTCATTATACCTTATTATGCATTCAAATAAGCATTTCTGCAAGCCCATTCTTCAAAGTAAAGTGGCTCTAAAGTCTTAGATGATCTCGGCCATGTCTTGTCTTAGGAGGAAAAATCTGATGTGGGAAGCTGGTGGATGACTCTTGTCCCAGGGCCCGGCTTGTGCCTGTTGTGAGGCTGAGATTTGCCACAGGCTGTCTTTTGCGGGGAGTGTGATAGGGGAATCCCTTATAGGAAGTGATCCCTACTGATTTAGTAATTATCCCCCATCCCAAAATGAAAAAGCCAGGACAGGTGCCCTGTACCGAAATTCCTAAAGAATGTGATGTTATCATGAGTTTCTCAGTATCCTTTGAATAATGCAAATACTTCTTCCATGAGACAGTTGCAAAGTTAATAGTGCAGGACCCCAAAGATAAATTTCAGTGATTCCCTCCTCCCTTTTTATTAACTAAAAAAACCAAAAAACAAAACTTAAGCCATTTAATACACAGAGAAAGATAAAAGAAGCAGAAACGGCCTATTTTCTGTAGGCTTGGAAGCTTAGTGAAGAATCAACTCTTATTTACAGAAAGTGTGCTTGACTTGAGCTCTGAAGGTTTGGCCTCACTGAAGTAGCAGGTAAGGGGGTGAGGCTGTGAAGTGGGCACCCACTGGGCTTGGTGGTTAAAGGGACAGACACTGGATAATTCTGCGCTCAGCCACCCACTGCCCTGGGTGGCCCTGGGCAAGCTATGAACCTTCTCCACGCCTCACAGGAAGGCAGGGACTCCTTCATGGGGCTACTACCTACCCGAAGCAAACTGGCCAGGCCCAGGCCCGCGGGGACCACTGCTTACTTGTGTTCTCATCGGGGGCCTGCAGCTCTGCCTGCACCTGTATAGAGAGGAGATTTTGCTATCTGCACACATTTTTTAAAATTTGGGGAGACAACTTCTTTGTCTCTCTTTTCCTCTCTTCCTCACTTGGGCTGTCATCTGCCACTTCTTTCCCTGCTTTCTACCCCAGTCTGGACACTTCTTGCTCCTCCCCTCGCAGAGCTGAGGCTTCAGCAGGAGATGTCGGCTTCCCAAGGAGGCTGCCTGGGTAGCCTTGAACGTGGTGGTGCCAGAGTCCACGGCCCTCTCTCCATCGGCCTCCAGGCTGAGCATGCCCACTGACCAGGTCCCGCCCATTCCTTGCGGCCCCCCCCCCCTTTTTGCTGGCCGTAGCACACACCTCCAGACCCGATGACCAACATGGCAAAACCGAGTCCACTCTCTTCCTCAAGCATAGAGCGAGCCTGTTGGCTTCCCTCTCCCCAATTCCCCATTCCCTGTTCTCCGTGCTGAGTCTCCCAGACTTCCTCCCTTGTCTCATCTTCCTCCCGTGTCTCACCTCAGACCCGGCCCTGTCCTTAGCCCCTGCCATTTGTGTCCTTTATCCTGAGAAAGAAAATCAAACCCACAGGAAAGTTATTTCAGTGGCAGCTTATTTGCATCTTGCCCCTTGAATCCTACAGGTTGATCATGATCAGTCCACTTCTCCCTGCCCGGCTCAGGGGCTTCCCACCCACCACCCCACAGTTCCCCCATCAGACCTCAGGTTTCCAGATTTCCCCTCTCCCCAGGGAGTGCTCGGAAAGCTTTGTTCTGGGCTCACACTGGCTGGTCTGGGATAGCGCGGACCTGGTCAACTTTCAGGACCGGGTTAGATTTCTGCCTAGTAAATGGCATTTAAGGCACCCAGCTCCTGGGGAAGAAGCGGAACGGTGAGCTTCAGTTGTGTCTTACACTGATGGCGTGGATTTACACCTTTTTTTTTATGGTTTTGGTCAAACCATTAAGGGCTTGACCTACAAGCCCTTAAGTTTCCTTCAGATTTGATGCAGGCCTAATTATTTGCTTATTCAGTTGGTGTGTGTGTGTGTGTGTGTGTGTGTGTGTGTGTGTGTGTGTCTGCATTCGGTGGCTCAGTGTGCTTTCTCTTTGTGCTGAAACTCTCTCCCTCCCAGCCACATGACGGATGATGATTACTTTTTGTGGTGCCTAATACATTGTTCTCCACTCCATGAATATTGTTACCTGACTCCCATTCCAACCCAAGAGGAATCTGGATTCACAGAGGAATAGAACCCTCTTACAAAATCTGGAGTATGATTGCAATTTTACTTTTGAAGCACCCGTTTCCCGGAGGAATAGTCAGTGATTGATGCCACTGTCAGAAACCCAGATGCGCGCACTCATACATCAGCCAGGAAATGACATAAACAGCTCACCCTGCAGGCAGGCGCCGACCCCCTTGCTTGCTCCCCAGGGAGAAGAGAGGTGATAGGAAACCCGGGGCAACAGCGGGGGACAGACAAGGAGAGGAGTTAGAATAGGACTGGGCTCCTGAAGGCCCACCTGGTGGTTCCCTTCCTCATCTTGTGCCGAGGGCAGCGGTCACAGTGGGTTGAGGTCAGTGGTGACATTGCTCCGTGACCCGGATCATGGAGAGCTCTTTCATCTGTCCTGGGAGTGCGCTGCCAGCTTCTTTTCATGGTGCGTGCACACGGATACATGCAGCTCTACAAACATACCTTCATCCTTATATAGCTAGAGGGGATGTCTACATTTTCCTTTGGGGTGGATGTGGCCTACCTAGGCGAAGCTCATGCTATGGCATTTGTCTCTTTGGAGAGCAAGTCCTGATTCCAGCAGGATGGAGCAGCAGAGACTGGTTTGTTGCTAAGAAGATGTCTGAAAAATCAGGCTACTATTAGGGCAGGAGAGTGAAAAGCAGTCCAGCAGGCCTGCTGGTGACTTGTGGGTGTGAGGGTGGCTTATCGGTAGCGACAGGCCAAAGCGTTGACATTCTTGACCACATAAAAGCCCATGGTGACTGGAGGGATGACCAACGTCCGGCCGGCCCGCAGGGGGCGGGGCTTCAGTTCAGGGAGGGTCCCATCGTCCACCATCACTAAGGGCTGGCCGTTCAGTTGCACTGACCTACAGTGAAGACAAATAGCGTGGGACTTGTTACTGCATTATCACAGCAAAGCCTGGGCAGCCCCGGATTGCCTGCCAGCCTGTCTGATACCGGCCCAGTGATCCCTTACTGATGCTTGCTATGCCCAAGCTCTCACCTCCACGTTTTACTTTTAAAAACTCATTAAAAAACTCCAGCAACGCTCTGAGAAAGAAATTGCCATTATCCCATTTTACCTAGAGTCGCTAAGTGACTGGTCCAAGATCATCCAGCTTGTAGGTCTGGGAGCCAGGATTTAAACACAGGTCGTCTAGTTCCAGAGACACATCATTTAGACAAGTGAAAAGTCTGTGATGCAGAAGCTGAAAATTGTATTACACCTATTTTTTTATTTTTTATTTTACTTTTTTAAAGGTTTTTATTTATTTATTTAACAGAGAGAGACACAGCGAGAGAGGCAACACAAGCAGGGGTAGCAGGAGAGGGAGAAGTAGGCTTCCTGCTGAGCAGGGAGCCCGACGTGGGGGCTCGATCCCAGGACCCTGGGATCATGACCTGAGCCGAAGGCAGACGCTTAACGACTGAGCCACCCAGGCGCCCCTATTTTTTAAAATCATAATGGCAGTTCAGTTTGACTTTATACCTAAAGAATTGTTTCCTGTGGAGTGATGCACAGGCTTAAGATGATTTCAGAAGTCTCCTATTTCAAAGATCTCTTTAATTTATTTGAGAGATTAGAGAATTAACATCATGTTACTTGTCTAGGCTTGTTCTGAAGGAGGAGAGAGACGGTTAATGACTCCTTTTTCTGAGAATGAGTTTTTTAATCTTTTTTTTTTTTTTTTTTGGTAGGGAGAGAGAGTGTGCAAGCGGTGGGGGAGGGGCAGAGGTAGGTGGGCTCCACACCCAGCGTGGAGCCCGTCGCAGGGCTCGATCTCATGATTGAGATCATGATCAAGAGTTGGATGCTCAACTGACTCAGCCACCAGGTACCCCTCATATCTAATATTTAACGGCTGTTTCTGTTTCAGCAACACAATGGAGTAGGTGATAAAGTAGGCATTTTTTAAATTCCAATTCACCCAGTCTGTTTGCTTTTCTTCTTCCTGTGTACCAGCCGTCTTCAATCCTGAGAAGAGGGCCACATACAGAGTACACTTAGGAGAAAGGGAAGTAGCTCATCAGCCATCCTTGGCCTGTGGTACAGAATCCAAAGAACTTCCCAGCTGTTCCTGACCTGGAATGACTTGTACAGCCATGTATCCAGATTGAAGCTCAGTTTTCTGGGTCAGAAGAAAAGGCCAGAGCCAGACCACCGGCTGGAAATAAGGCTGTGAGTCACCCTCAGAAAATCAACATTGCACAGTGATGACTGTTTTGGGGTCTTGCCCAACCTCCAATGTGATAACAGTGCAGTGATACTATCTGAGCTGTAAAGAGAATGAAATGCTAGAAGCTGATACAGAGGTCTTTGTTTCATGTTCCTTCTGTGCTATGAATGATAGACAGGTTTAGAGAGATAATCAGACCTAGGCCCAGCAGAGCAGTGAATTCCCAGAGATAAGTGTGTTGTGAATTGCTCCCAACAGAGGACAAGGCAGAGGCAGGTCCAGGCCTCGTCCCACATGGATAAGTTTGGGTCTGGTCCAGATCTCACAGGCCAGAGGGGCAGCCGCCCTCCGTTTGTTGGTGTGATTGAGGAATGAGTGAGCAGGGGACTCCCGTATGGAGAGTTAGACCTGCCTCTGGGAAAATGCAGAAGTAGGAGAATTGAGATCTGGTAAGTGTTGACCTCATCAAATCTGCAAGGAGCTTTTGCTCCAAATTTAAATGACTATCTCTGGTGAAGAGAGCCTACTCCCTGGAATGGGAGGTGGGGTGAGGACAAGGGGTCCAGTTGCAAAAAAAAAAAAGCCAGAACAGGTCTTCACAGTGTACTTTCATTATTTTGTTTCAGGTGGTGTGAATATCCAACAACCAGACATATGCACCCTCAAATACAAGTTCAATAATACTAATTAATCTTTCCAATGAATCCTCAGCTGATACCTATATCGTTATTCTGGAACAGGGCCCATTCTGATTTCCTTTTTGGTTATTTGTAAAAAGCTAACCCAAGTGTGGATGGAACCAGGGAGCGTGATTGAGATTCTGGACCGATCTTTAATTCCAGGAGCCCGGTCACTGTCTCGCTAGACAGTCACCCCACTTCTGGAGGCTTTTTTAGTCTGTGCAATTGCTATAGGCTGCAGGGCCAGAGACGTGAAGTACAAAGTATGAGGCCCTCTAACAGTGTAACGAGTCCTGTAAGTAGGGAATGGTGTTTTGTTATTCTTTTCACCAAAGCTACGGGTAAACTTATTGGTCCTTGTACTTGACTGCTCTTGGGACTGACGAGTTTCATGGCTCCTTCTTAAAGCCCTCTCTCCCCCTTGGCTCTCATGGTACCTCTGTCTCTCACTGTCTCTCCCTTGCCCCACTCTCCTTCTCCTTCATCTCTGCATGTGGTTGCCTCTTGAGGGGGACTGTACACTTCTACCTGCCTCTCAGATGGTGGGGTTCTTGGCGCTTTGTCTTTGAACCTCTTCTCCCACACTCCATACTCCTGCTGAGTGCTATTACCCACACCCAAGACTTTGATTGCTATCCACGTCAATACTCCCCAAACCTAGTCTAGATCCTTCTTCTAACTAATGTTATCTCCACTTGGCTGTCCCATAGAAACTACAGAGTCACTATGTTCCAAGTCAAAATCATCTCCTCAGACCCTGTCCTTTTCTCTGCGTTTTTTGTTTTGGTACCACCATCTATGCAATGACCTAAGCCAGAAAGCTGGTCATCTGGGGCTTTGCCCCCAGTTCCCACGTCGGGGGTCACTAAGTCCAATCAATTCTACCTTTTAATATTTTTCACATCTACTTCTTTCTCTCCATTCACTGCTACTATTTTAGTTCAGAACTTGCCATGTAACCGATCTCTTTGCCCCCTGCCTTGCCTTCCTCCTGCTGCTTGCCACATTGCTGACGGAGCAATCAATCGCTGTCACTGCTTTAAACTCTTCAGCATCTCCCCATGCCTTCCACTTTCACGGGGACAGTGAAGCCCCGCTCTGGCCAGCTCTCCAGGCCTGGGGCCTGCCAGTACCCCTGACTCCAGTGCTAACTGTGGCTCACCAGCCTCTGGGGGCGGGCATGGGCTGACCTGGCCGTTCTTGTCAGGTCATCATCAATATATGCATGAACAAAGATTGTTTCACAATGAAAAGCTAGTTAAGTCGTGCACATAAATGAAATGAATATTTATTAAGTGAAATTGTAAGTAGATACTGTTGGGAATGAAGTATGAGAGTTCATTTAAAAGTATAGCAAATATTTTTCAAAGGTAAGTACTAGTAGACACTGTTGGGATTAACAAGACACAAGTTCATTTTAAGTGTTATAAAATCCCTAATAGATTTTTTGGGAGGAGGGGGCATCATGTGCTTATTTCAAGCAAGAGATTTTAAAGATTTTATTTATTTATTTGAGAGGGAAAGCAGGGGCAGGAGGAGAGGGACAAGCAGACTGCCCACTGAGCGTGGAGCCTGACACAGGGCAGGGATCTCGATCTCACGACCCTGAGATCATGACCTGAGCTTGAAACCAAGAGGCAGATGCTTAACTGACTGAGCCACCAAGGTGCCCCTCAGGCAAGAGATTTGGCGCCTGGGTGGCTCAGTTGGTTGGGCGACTGCCTTCAGCTCAGGCCATGATCCTGGAGTCCCGGGATCGAGTCCCACATCGGGCTCCCTGCTCGGCGGGGGGTCTGCTTCTCCCTCTGACCCTCTTCCCTCTGGTGCTGTCTCTCATTCTCTCTCTCAGATAAATAAATAAATAAATAAATAATCTTTAAAAAAAAAAAAAAAGGACAATGACTATAATGTGGGAGGACCGTGACATGAGCCAACACCACAAAGGAACTCTGTTCCTTTTACAGGGCTGCCCCTTTGCCCCGTAGGACCAAATTAAACGACCTGCAGTTCCACTTTGGTGGTGCTCCTTCCTCTTAGAACACAACCCACCCTCTTCCCCTGTCAGACTAACCACACTGGGTCCTTGCAGAACCTGCTCAGGTGTTGTTTCCTCTGGGGAAACTTTTCTGATCCCTGGGCTGGGCTAGAAGCCCCAACTCCAGGCTCTCTTGTATCCCAAACTTATATACGACTACCTCACTGAATTGTAGTGACTTACTCACTCTCCCGCTCACTGGGCTGTGAGCTTGGTGAGGAAAGGGATCATGTCTTTCATCCCTAAATCCTCAGTGCCTAACAAGGTGCTCAGCCTGGAGTAGGGATGAAATATTTTTGAACAAGTGAATGAACCTTGCGGCTCTTTTGCATGACTTCTTATCTTCTGGGGTGGAGTTTCTCCAGCTTGAGAGAGGCTCCCTGGAGGTTCACTGAGTGTCTTTACAGATTTCATTAACGTACCAATTTACTCTCGCTTTCAATGGCTCTGGACATGTGAGATAAGAACTGAATTATTGCTGATTCTCAGTCACTCACCAGATACCTTATCCTAACCTGACATGAGGCCATTGATCATGGATAGTATTTTTCATCCTTAAAAAAGATCCATATGACCATCTCTTAACTAAGCCAACATGAGTTGACTTGGTGAGACCCTGAGTCCCCATACATCCTCATCTATAAAGTCCCTCCGTTATAAAGACAGACCACATGCTTTACCACCTCCATTCTATTTTTCCTACTTACATTTTTCTTTTAATATTTATCCTGTTACCAGTGAAGTCATATCATGCTAAATATAATAATCTTTCATTTTTATGAACAATTTGTAAGTTTGAAAACATAGTCACACTGATGATAAAAATCATGATTAGTACACACTATTTTATACACAAAGGCATTTTATTATGATTTCATTTGACTATCGCATTTAGTCCTTCCAACAACCAACTGAGGCAGGGGTTAGCAACCCTATATTATGGATGAAGAAATCAAAGTTTACAGGGGTCTCAC